CACTTAAACAACTGAGCTAATGGGAAGGACCCTTCTTCTTTCTTCTTTCAGTATAAAGACACTAATTTTTTTTTTTTTTTTGATGACTGAAAGAACAAATGAATGGATATAACAAAAGTAAGTTAATAACTACAGATTCATGGAGATACTTGGGACATTGAACTAATCCTGCTGCCAAGCAATGCCAGGTAGAGACAAAGGAGTGAGCTTTGCTGGAAAAAGGCAGAAGAAAAAAATTCTTCAGCTTAACACAAGAAATTTTTTGTTTTCATTTTTGTGAATCACGGTTTTAATCCTCTGGCTCAGTGCGTTGGAGGCCAGCAGTGCCTGTTAACTGGAGGTGGCCGCCAATGGTGGAATTTTCTACCCATGGTAATCCTTTCTTGAAACCCTCAGGAGGTAAGGATTGCTTTTGGAAGCTTTTTAAAATTTTTGCTATTGTTTTAAACAATGTCTAAATCAAGAGTGGAAGAATAGTCGAGCCATAGCCATTGCTGTTCTCTACCAGTAAACACGAAATCTGCACCTAAGTGGTGGCTTTGCAATCCGAGTGCTCCTGCTCCTCCTTACCTTTGTAGGAAATGACCGGGTGCTCAGCTCTCTGGCACTGGGCATCCTGAGCCTCCAACCAGGCGAGTCTCCACAGCCCCAGGCTTGAGAAGAGCCACGCGAGGACGCAGGCTCCCTTCATGGCGGGCAAGGGGTCTCGGGCTCCAGGCACTTGTCTTCTACAAAGTGGGTCTGCCCCTCATGTGGGAAAAGTGCCTAAAACACAAGCAAGAACAAGCTGGTGAATATGAGCTCAGGTTTTCTGTGAGGTGGTATTTGGAAGAGCCTAGCACTGAGTTCAACACTGTAATTTGTGGAGCTGAGAGACCTTCATGAACACAAACAATCTATTTTTCCTAGATGATGCTCCTCCTTACCTTTGTAGGAAATGAGTGGGTGCTCTATTCTCTGGCACAGGGCATCCAGTGCCTCCAGCTGGGCGAGTCTTCACAGCCCTTAATCTCTCTAATTTTAATCTCTCTAATTTTATAAGATAACCCAAGTTTAAACTCTACTGAGTCACCCTGATCACTTGTAAGTAAAGCCAGTAAAGAGAACTCAGTGGTTTCCCATGAAAGTTTATCATAATACCTTGTGCAAACATATGACCTTAGGACTATCGGCCCATCCCTTTTCACATTCAAAATACCTTATACGATAAAGCCACTGCCATTGTCTTACCACAAACCTTCTGAGTATTACACCATCTCACTCATAAACTACCCATAATTGGTACAAGTGTCAGCGTGCAAAACTTCTGGCTAGAGAGTAAACGAATCAAATAGACTCTAGATTCAACAGCAGCTCGGTGAAATGAAAGTATAAGTTGCAAATACTGGAACTCTTTAATGATTATGAACAATTTAAAAGATTAACAAGCCTTAAAGTAAGATACGCTTGTAAAAATAACCAGAATCCAGCCTCTTAGAAACCCACAAAAAGAAGCAGAAGTGCATTGGGAGTTCAGGGAAAGTCGCGCTGCCCTTTAGATGGATCAAGAAAGGCCCTGGGAGGAATTTGTGTTTGAGTTTAATACTGAAGGATAAAGAGGAGATTTGTGGAAGGTCATTCCATGCCAAGAAAAGAGGGTGAAAGGCACACTGGAGCATGTAACATGTTTGGGGATGTTGGATTACATTCATGGAGATGGCAGCAACCACACAGAGGACCAGACAAAGAGCTAAGGGAATAGCCTGTGTTACCACTGGGAAAACAAATTATATTCGAATGTTAGGTCTTTATTTCCAGGAAAGAAGCTATTGCATGTCAGTCAGCTTTGATGGAACAAAAGACCTGACACCACAACTTGCAGGAGGAGGGCTGTGCTTTGGCTCAAGCTCCAGAGGGCGTAGTCCATGGGTAGATAGCGCCCAGGCAGCAGCTGCTGCACCGTTCATGGAGGTCGGAGAGCACAGTACAAGAAAAATGCCTGAGAGGAACGGGGTCTGGGACCTGATGCAGTGTCCAAGGTCATACTCCAGGGCTCCCTCAAACACACCCAGAGATGGGATTTGCTAATCCACTGCCTCGAAGGCCAACCGAGTTGACAAACAAGACTTAAGCATCACAGTACATTAACCTCAGGAGACATATCCGTAAAGTCCACTCTCACAACACTGTGTACGAAAAGGCAGAGAGAGGCTGACAAGGTATTTTGAAACTACTATAATTGTCTGGAAAAGAAATAAATGAAGCTATGATTTTATGTGTTGCCAGTCAGAATAAAAGTAAAGTTAAGAGAAAATAGTAAACAGAAGAGGGAAAGGCAAGTTTGGCAAATGGTCACAGATGAAAGATGGCCGCAGATGCTGGCTTTGCTCCAGAGATGCAGGTCAAAGTTCTGTCCCTTGAATTGAGGTCAGATCTATGGGAGCCTTGCTCAGGAACTAATACCACAGGACTGCTGGGGAGGCTTGTCCCCAAGATCAGACTCAACGAGACTGGCAATCTCTACTTCCTATCTCTAAAAACACATTCTCTGGGTGACTGTGACTTCAGGTCAGAAGTCTAACACCTCGCTACTGTCATGTTAGAGATCACAATTAGATGTCATGGCTCATGGGTCCTTCTGGGCCCAGTTACCCAGTGATCCCTGCCAAAGCTCCAAATACAGGATGAAAGCTGAAGTCCACAGCCAAAGCGTCACACGAGTGAGCTCTGCCCAAATTCCAGGTGCAAAAAAATGTAAAATAGAATGATTGTTGTTCTAATCTGCTAAATGTCCAAATCATAAAGCAAACAGGCGCAGATGGTCTCCAAACTGGTAACAGAAGTGACTCTGCAGACCAGAATCTCACCCATTAAATGTGGTCAACAAAAGAAGGGTCTGGTTCTGATAAGAGTATCATCATTTAGTTGTATACACATTGGGCTTCAGCTACTGAATGAGTATTTAGGGACATGCAGGAAACTTAAAAACCCAGGTTGGGTGCTCAGAAAAATCCAATTAGATAACACAGAAAGTTCAGCATGGTTGAAATCTTAGCTTTGCTTGGTGTTTTCTAAAGGGAAGCATCAAGGAAATAAAGTTTAAAAAAGCTGTTTGTTAATATGTACTAATCAAAAGAAGCCACAAAAAGAAGGGAAAGCAGAACAGGGAGGAGCACAAGGACAGAATCTTCTCAGCATCAAGCTGCTTCATTCATGCTTCCAGGGTGCAGAGAGAAGTGACACATTTATTTATTTATCTCTTTATTTATTTTGGTGGTACCAGGGATCAAACTCAGGACCTTGAGCTTGCCAGGCAAGCATTTATGCCACTGAGCTATCTCCCCAGCCCCTGAAGTAACACATTTAGCAGAGGTCAGTTTTCCTGCATCTTCATAGCAGTGAATCATGAGCACAGGGGTCCCTGGCTGTAGCCAGGCCATGCCAGTGGTCGGCGGGGAAGGGAGATCCGCAGCAGTAACAGAAGAGGGGACCCGTACAGCAAGGAACCAAGACAGGAGGAGGTGCAGAGGTGCAGGACACTCCTCCCCTTAATGCTCAGTGGAAAATGAAAAAAAACAAGTTATGAAATCAGAAAACATTAAAAGAAAAAATTAAGATGATCTTAGGATAGGTGAAACAGATTGGTATAATTTTAATATCTACCCCAAACTCATTTACATTTCATTTTCAGTGGAATGACATCAAGAGCAAGGCTTCAACAGATGCCGGATTAAAGTTTTCTAAAGGATACGAAAATTATACAAATTTTACAGATTTGAGAGGGTTAGGATGTGGCTCAGAGGCAGCACATGTGCTTAGTATGCACAAGGTCCTCCTGGGTTCAATTCAAATACCAAAACTTAGTAAATAAATGTAAGGAAAAAATAGTGAATTTCATAGAAGTTGACCCAATATCAAAAACTAACTAGACATGCTGATTCAACTGTGTTTAGAGTCTCTCATGCACTCAATACTTATTGAGTGCCAACTGCGTACCCATCTTTCCATATGCATGTGTGAATTATGGGTATTAAGTTCAGTACGGGGGCTGGGAATTTGGTTCAGCCGTAGAACATTTGCCTAGCAAGCTGGAAGACCTGGGTTCAGCTCATGGAACCAAAACCAAAACTAAACCTTCCCTAGAAGTGTAATATAAGATTCCCCAGAGCTATGGTTGCCAGAGCAAGCAGGCTTTGAGGCCTTTCAGAACGGGACAGAGTCCAGAATGCTCTGATATTCAAACTGCGCAGAAAAGCAAATGAACAGCCTGCACACCAAGATAAGGCAGGAGATTGGGCTGTGTAGAAGCAAGAAATGCTAAGTGTCATAGAAGGTGTGCAGCAGACAAGAGAGAGGGACCCCAGAGACCCACCTGTCCCACAGTCAGCCTGGTGGTCCCCAGGCACAGGGCACTGGAAGGGGCGATGGATGGGCAGGTGCCAACTCTCCTGGGTTACAAGACTAAAAGTAGGATTTTCACAATTAGGAAATGTGTCACAGCCTTCAGAGTTGGAGGCCACCCTGTGGCTCAGATCCAGAGGTAAAGGTGTGAGGGGCGTGTACCTCCTACTCCCCCTGACCTGAAACTTCAAACACGGAATTTTGTCAAGTGATGTGTATTTAAATAGATTAGTTTTAGAGAAGTGTATTTCTTTGAAGACTACAAAGATCTGGGACACCACATCGGCCCTCTTGGAAAAGATCCAGGTAGAGTTTTCATAGCCCCATCTCAAAGGCAACCAGCAATGATAGAGATAAATCAGGAAGAAGATGAAAGTAACAACAAGCCCTCAATGTAGGTGAGCTCTGTAGGAGGCAGCTGCCCATGCTTAGAGCAGTAGCAATAACACACGGGTCCTCACCAAGCCAGACAGGTATACACTGACCTACAACCACCTCCAGGATTGAGCCCCAGTTAATGAGCCGCAAAGAGCAAATTTTCTCTTGTACATAGTTGATCAGTGTCCCAAACCCAAGCCAACCCCAAAAACCACTCTGCTAACTATAATGCTAATCAGCTTTCTATTACTGTGACAAACCATAGGAGAAAAGTCAACAGAAAAGCAAGTGATATAGGGTGCCTCAGCCCATCCTCACTACATCCTATTGCTTTGGGACTGCAGAGAAATTGCACATCACATCTGGAAGTGGCTGGCAGAGGGGGCTTGTTCTCCGCCTGTGGCCAGGAAGGAAAGACACAGACAAGAAGGGGCCCAGCCCCCCAATAGCCTCCAAGGGCAAACCCACAGGGACATGGCATCCTTCTACTGACCCCATCTCCTACAGGTCCCAAGAATGCCATCGCCTGGGGCTAGGCTTTTCAAACATGGGACTTAGGGAACCCTGAAGATGCAAATGACAATGATGAAGCAAGGAACACACACACACACACACACACACACGCAAGTTGAGCCTTCCTTCCTTCGTGATGAGCCAGTCCCTTCTATCCCAGCCCTAACATCTTAGCCTCAGGAATGAAAGGCAGACAAAGACACCGCAGTGCCTGAAATATCCTTGCCTTGGAATTCAGAAAGGGATGATTAGAGAAGCCGGCAGTGCTGCGTCAAGTGAAAGAGCCGCTGAAATGGGCAATAGCGACCAGGTGGAGTTGCACGTTTGCTGTGTTAAACTTAGGGGATCACATTTAACAAGAACAGGTGAATTTTAGAGGGTTGTAATTTTCCAACTAAGATGTGTCACCTTTTTTCTTAAACATAAAGGCACTATAAACTGCCCTTGTGGCGGGGTAGCAGGGGAGGGCGTCTGCAGTGTTCAGGGAGAGGCCT